TTTTTTTTTAACTGTTTAATTTTTTTAATCCACTTAAATCTGTAAAAAAATATATTAAGTTAACTTAATTGTTTTGTGTTGGGTTAGTATGAAGGAATTTCATGGAGCCCAGCATTTTTTCACAGTGAATTAAAACATAAAAAAAATCTACTTTTTATTTATTTATTTATTTTTTTTACCCGTTCTGAAAATAAATTAATTAATAACACAAAATGGCAATATTTTGATGTAAAACCTTGAAGAAATGTTATCAGACCTTTACATAACAAAGCAAACATTTACATTTTACACAAACCCATATTAATTTAAGTACATTTTTATGGATGTTTCCCAGTGCTGAGTCGCAGCTGGAAGGGCATCCGCTGCATAAAACATATGCTGGATAAGTTGCCGGTTCATTCCGCCGTGGCGACCCCAGATTAATAAAGGGATTAAGCTGAAAAGAAAATGAATGAATTAATAATAAATAAATAAATGCACACATTTGTTTATTTTACAAGCCTAAAATAGACCACTAGAGACGATATACAAAAACAGAGCCACTAAAGTGTTTTCCAATAAGGACAGATGCACAAACACACCCATAAGCCTTTCAGGTGTAGGCTAGGCTTAGCTAAGCAGTTAAAATGTTTGTTGTTATTAGCGCAGATTAACTGCTGAGTGGTCTAACCTACCTGTGAAACAATCAGCAACATCTGCTTCACAAAGGCATAATTAAGCAACACTAACAAACAGTGTTTTGTGCGTGGAGGGGAAATGGAGATTTGTGTTCAGCAGGTGTCTGGAGAAGCGGCACAATTAACAGAGACTGCGATTATGCTTTCTAGCCAACCTAGCATCCGAGGAGTTTTACATCTACTTTTATCTCTATGCAAAAATATACGCACAATGTTGACAGTCAGAATAAAATTGACATGCTGGGCCATCACATTATCTCTCTCTCTCTTTTACTTACCAAGCCAAAAAAAGTAAGCTTTTCAGAGTTAATATAATACAATTAGGCACATTAAGCGTTTAATTGATGCTTCATGTGCTCAGAGAATGATGGGAAATGTAGTTTGGTTGCCAAGCCTGTCATCTCATAAAGCAGCTGTATGAGTTGTATTTCCTGGCAAGCTTTCTAGTAGCACGCGGCGCATGCAAACTAAACTGTACAGTCAACATTTGCAATTAAAACATAATTATGACCGAAAATAATTTGCTTCCACCAGGATTCTTTAATTAACGTGCCTCCAAACTAAATGAATATCTAGAGTTTCCCGATGGTAATTACGATGTTCTGGTTGACGTTCATCCACAGTATTCTTGTAACTGTGATCATTTGATGAGACTTGAAGGTAGAATAAATGCATCAGCTTTATTAATATCTAAACTGAATAATGTTTTGATGAATGAGGCAGCAGGGAAGTCATCAGAGGTTTGTCGTAGTTATTGTTGTTTGCTGTTTGGTGATTTATTTGGTTTTCCTCTTTTTTGCAACTTAATTAGATGGTAGATGAGAAATAATAATAATAATAATAATAATAATAATAATAATAATAATAATAATAATAATAATAATAATAATTCCTTACATTTATATAGCGTTTGCTAGACACTCAAAGTGCTTTACACATTGGGGGGATCTTCTCATCCAACGCCAGTGTGCAGCATCCACCTGGATGATGCAAGAGCAGCCATATTGCACCAGACATCACAACACACACCAGCTGATTGGTGGAGAGGAGAAAGAGTGATGAAGCAAATTATGATATAGAGATAGTTAGGAGGCCATGATGGCAGAGGCCAGTGGGCAAATTTGGCCAGGATACCAGGGTTAAACCCCTACTCTTTTTCGAAGGACATCTTGGAATTTGGCATACCACTGAGATCGGTAAAAGACGATGAAGGGAATTTAGCCGGGACACCGGTGTTACAGCCCTACTTTTTACAAGAAGTGCCATGGGATTTTTAATGACCACAGAGAATCAGGACCTCGATTTAAAGTCTCATTCGAAAGAATCCATAATGAAATTACTTTTAACCTAATACAGTAAAAAAAAGGTATTTTCCATTTTTACTGTTAGTATAATCTGCATCCTTATACTTCAATAAATGCATTACTTATGATGTTTAGGCTGTGAATTGTACATTAATGATCAGAGGGCGTCAACTTTTTCGGTAATGTTAGTTTGTGTAATACAAGCTTCAGTTAAACAAATGTATATATCTATATTTAATTACATCTACTTTATAGATATTTTAGTTTTTATTTTAGATATTTAAGTTTTCAGTGTTTTGTGGGATATTTAGTGTATTCTGACCTACAGTATACTCTGATTTACAATTTCAGAAGTTACTATAGGTCAAACTATACAAATTGTGCAGCTAATTTTACTTTACTTGTAGGCAGTATGTGGAAGCAAACAGGTATTTTACAAGAAAAGTGCCTTTTAAACACGGTTTACGGTGTCTATCGGTGATTTAGATCTGCCAGTTTCCGACTTTTTATTGTTTTGTTTTTTTTTCTCTTACATAAACATTTGTTAACTGTTTTTGACCTTATTGCATTTTTTCTACAAGAGACTCATTTAGAAGCAAATAACAAAACAACTATTAAAGATTACAAATTCTAGGTTGACTTATTTGTATATACCAAATATGAAGCACCACCTAAATTCAAATAAATAAATAAAATGGCAAGAAATATTTTTTTTTTTTCTCACATAGACTGATTGGCGCAATTTTGCATTCACAATGGTATGAACTAATATGGGGTGGACAAATGAATATTTATATTATAAATTATTTTGATTATACATATTATTATTTAAGAGACAGATCAAACCAAACTATTTCTCAGTAAAGTACTGACCCCCCATACATGTTGTTTTTATGTCCTTCGGCCGGGTTATTAATCTTGGAATATTTAATCAAATCCATGCATGTTCAATAAAAAAGGTCAGGAGAGGATTTTCTTCAATGTCAAAAATATTAGTAGTTTAATATTCATTCATTCATTCATTCATTTTCTTGTCGGCTTAGTCCCTTTATTAATCCGAGGTCGCCACAGCGGAATGAACCGCCAACTTATCCAGCAAGTTTTTATGCAGCGGATGCCCTTCCAGCCGCATCTCTGGGAAATAGTAGTTTAATAGATACAAATAAATAATTAGACTCACAGAATTCTGCTAACACCCAATGCAGTGCAATAATTACATTAAGGATGTGCACAACAACTTTAATTTCCTGACTACAGCTTTTATACACAGCTGATATTAACAGATGGAGTTTATTGGAATACTTCACTTGTCAATCATTCCCTAGTTGTCTATTGGCATACATACGTCCTCGTTTTCTACAAATTCCCTGCACAACATTAAAAAGATAAGACTTCTTCTGCACATATCCTGTGTTCAATTTCAACCCATCTCTGCTCACAAGAAGGATAGCTGCAGAGCTTAGGTTAATTTTAGAAAATCAGACCTTTCCATTTCTATCAGCTTAATCTACTTCTGCAAAACTGCTTCATTAGAATGCAAGGCATATCACACTTAAGAGAAGAAGTTTAATTAATATATCACCTTTAAGCAATACAAATATTATTGTTTAATGAAAAGAAAAAGATACACATATAACAAAAACATATTGTTATTTATTTTTTTTTTTTAACAGGGGTCAACCCCTCCAAACCCCCCTGCAGTTCGTACCCTGGAATTGCATTACCTAACATTAACTAAGAGAACAATATTCCAGAAAACGACAAAAATTTGACTTACACATTAAAATGAAAACGAATACTACCATAAATAACCCTGGCGCTTACTTTAAAAACAAATGTTTGGTAACTTCACACTTTTGAACTTTTTGAATGCATCTTTGTAGAACTAAAGTCTTACAAATCTTACTGACCCCCAGATGTTGCAGCAATAATATTTCCCTTTATAATATCAATAGAAACTGTAGGTCGCCAGGCCTGAAGCGGCGTCTGTTTGCGTGCTGCCAGTCTCCCACGGCCGCGTCTGTCTGCCGTCTGCCGCTTTATTGCATCAGAGGCGGTTTACAGCGTGAAATGAAGAGCAGCTGTAATTGCTGCAAGGCATTTATTCATCTCTCACAAGAGATTCACTCATAAAGAAGCACACATCAGCCTCGCTCTCAACGAGCACCGACAGATACACTCGCATACAGATGCTCTTCAAGGTTAGGGCATGCGTTTTCTTCTCCTAATAGAACAATACACAGTATCTCTTCCTATTGTCCAGGCAGCGTTATTTGTCTTTCTGCTTGATGAGCTGCTCGGATGACTCTAAGGGTGCTCATATTGATATCCAAGCTAACAATCCCCCCTCTCCGGCCTCCTCTCTCCATATTACCACTATAAATCCAGCGCCTGCTGATTGTTATGGTCATTGTGTGTGCGGTGAGGGATGGTTATTATCCGTAGTTGCTGGTATTTTATGTGTCTCTTTTCTCCTCTGTCTCTCTCGCTCAGGGTCCTGATCACTGTGTTAAATGTCGTCACTTTAAAGACGGACCCAACTGTGTGGAGAAATGCCCTGACGGTCTACAGGGAGCGAGCAGCTTCATCTTCAAATACGCTGAGGCCAACAATGAGTGTCACCCCTGCCATGTCAACTGCACCCAGGGGTATGGATAGCTTTGTTAAATGTTTGCAATGTGTGTGTGTGTGTTGGGGAAATACAGTACTGTGTAAAAGATTTAGGCCACCGTTATGCTGGTTGTTTTAGTGATAGTATAGTGACCACATACTATTATTTTTCATTCTTTTAATTAGAATGCAACCAGTAATTCATTTTTTTATAGCACTAAAAGGCTACTTCTCTCCCTGCAAACAACCATTCAAAGCCATGCATCCTGAAAACATGAATGTCACTGAACAACATCACTGCAAAACATGGCTTAAGTCTTTTTTTTTTTGTATCAGGACGTACATCCAATTGAAATAGTCCTGAAATGAGAAAGAAACAGGGCATTGGATGATTTCGTCCAATGGGAGCTGATTGGATCATTGGAAGATGGGCGTTACTAACAAAATGAAGGAAGATTGATGAATGGATAAAAGCAGGGGAGAAATGAGACATGCCATGATAACCCCTCTCGAAAGATATTTCATGTGACCAAAAGTGAAGTAAACTCATCTCGAGGAGGAGGAAAGGTTATAGTATTTGATAAATGGTTGAGGACAATTGAATGTTTATTAAATAATGATCAGAAGTGAAGAAAAGTAATTTCCAGGGAGGGAAGGAAGGTTGTGGTATTTAGTTCAATGATTATGTGGGCAAATTAATGTTTACAAAATAATGAAGTGCACAGATATATAATTTATACCAAGCACTACTATATAAATAAAAAATAAGAAGAGCAAAATTTAATATCACGATGGCTTTAACATTTACAGAAAAAAAAAAAAAAAACTTGTAGTAGAGCTTGTAATTACCATGCCAAAAAGAAGGTAGGTTGTTGATGTTCTCCGGCCATTCTATCTTAACTGTAAACATGGTGCACAGAGGTATGCAATTATATATTTTGGCATGTATGGACTGTTGAACAGTCTATAGCAGGTGTTCTCAAACTTTTTAGCCTGCGACCCTTAATATCACTATGCCAGTGACTCGCGACCCCACATTCCTCAGAGGTAGTTATAAACAAACAAATGTTACACAGACAACAATGGGCCTATATAAACACGAGCATATTGACAACAAAAAAAGTGCAACAGTCTAACAAGCAAATAACTGTTATAGTAATTTATGAATTTGTTTAATTTAATATTATATATTCAAAAAGGTGGCAAAACCAAAGCTCCAAAAATGCCAATTTATTCAACTAAAAAGGCTGATACAAGGTGTTAATGCCTCCACACCTTGTATCAGCCTTTTTAATTTAATAAATTGTCATTTTTGGAGCTTTGGTTTTGCCACATTTTTAAATAAATAGTTTTGCACTTTTAGCTGTTTGATTGAACACTCATTCATAGTGATGTTCATGCTTTTGTGAATTTTTAATTTAATATTAACCTCACCTAATGAGACTGGTAGACACAATGTTTACAGCACAAGTCTATTTTTAGTTTAGTTTTGGAGACCCATTTTGAGATTCACTGGTCTAGTCCCGTTAGGATCAACCATTTTGATTAGACAAACTCTTCTTGGTACTACACCTTCCACCGAATATTAAAATGCATATAAATACATTTGGACAACTTAATTTCTATAGCAGGATGTACAGAGACTTTCAACCATCATAACTGAAATAGTTTCTTAAGACTTATTGGAGCTTTAATTTAAAACATGTAAAAGACAGAGTTGGAGAGAAATCGAAGAATGAGTGATTGTAACCTTCAGTTAAACTTGCTGTCTTTTTGGATACCTTTCTGCCTGTGGTGTTATTGTCTGCATTGGGATGAATGGAGTGGGATTGTTTTAAAAAAGTGCAGACATCTAGCCATTCCTTTAAGAAAGCACCTCATTTGTAATGGTTTTATTATTCAGAATGCTAATGATCCCAAACAAACTCCTAATCCAGCAAAGAGTCCAGACCTGATTGTTATAGTGGTGGTACAGCAGATGGACAACCTGGATAAAAAAAATAAATAAAAATGTGACAGCTTGTTTAAATATAAAAAATATAAAACTTACACGCTTCAGCCTATATTTTTGTGAAATCACAGTAATTTACTTAAGCATCCTTATAACTTCAGCTTCTTGTTAAAAATGAACAATACTGTATCACACTAATGACATTTACAGGTATATTTTATTGACAAATATAATATATTATATATATTCAGTTCTTTTCACAGCACCAAATAAATACCACAAAAAACTACTTAATGTTTGCTCCACCTATCTATCTTCATATGTACAACTTTTCTTAAGTTGTACTTGTGATGCAGAGTGCTCAGGTTCAAGTCTGGTAAAACAGAATTCCACAAAAGAGAAAAAAGCTATGTAAAATCAAGGTAAAATGACATTGTTGCAGTGCAAATTTCTCTTACACTTGCTTTTGAAAACAGTATTGGTTAGGTTTGGGGAACGGTTTAAGTCAGTGGTTTACTAGGAAATCAGTACGACAAGCCTCGCCGCCTCATGGACACGTTCAAGACAGACATGTATCTTAAAAATGTACAACAAAATGCACATGAAGCAATGGATTTCAGATTTATTTCAGAAAATGTAGACTGTGCCCCTAATAGCTTTGCCATCTGAAATGTGCAACAAAACGCACCTAAAGTAACTTATTTCCCTTTCCACAAAAATATAAGCTGAGGCACATATTTTCAACGAGTCTGGATTTAAATCTGTTCATGTTGTGCTTGGCGCCAAGGGATGTCACAGTAGATGCTGACTTTTGCTTGAAAAAGTAAGTTGGTTCTGAATACTGAGTACTTTTTTTTTTTACTGTGTATAGTAGCACTTTATATACATTTAAGCCTCTAAATACACACAGAAGACCTAAAGAGACTGAACATCAAATAGGGATAAATATATATTTATAATACTAAAAGATGATGGTAGGCCAAGACTATTGCACAGTACTGTATATCTATCTGACTACTTTGTGTGCTTGTTTGCCACGTCAGTTTTTGCCTCAGGAAATTTGGAGAGCCTATTTGTCAAGGCGCTGACCCTTTTTAGAGCACTTGTGTCCTCGGAGCTGGCTGTGCATAAAGCATCATTAATTTTAGAGGAAGGAGTTTGCCCTTGCTGCGTCTCTGCCATCTAACTTTAAGTCTAAACGATAACCATCATGCTCTCTGAATTTATCCAGCTGGGCACCTGCAACTTAACCTCGGCCCCCTTGGGGTTACAAGAGAGACGGTTCAAATTTACTGAAGAAAAAAAAAAACATTATCCGCTCATGGAATCTTGGATTCACTTTTCTTCTGCTTGTGTCACTTGAAAGCCTTCAACTGCTGACTGTCGTATCTGCAATCACTGTCAACCAGGGACGATTAGTGGTGTTGAGTTTTGACACACCAGCAGTTAGCTGATAAATCGACAGGGATGTGAGCATCAGGGTTGAAGGGCAAGAACTCTGATATCAAGGGAAAGACGGGAAAGATGGGGGCATTAAAATAGGCCTATGTAGGTTTAGGCGAACAGTGTAACATACACATCTTTGGTATGGGTCTACAGTTTTATTCTATCTTTTGCATGTGTGGAACTAAGCTAATAGATTCAAATTAAGTTCCATTTTATAATTTTCATTTTTATTAACCTACAGTATATATTGATTACTAAATTTAAAATGATTAGCTTACCTAAAAATAAAAAAGAACACAAATTAAGGAATTTTAGATGAAATTCAAAAGCTTTCTGACCCTTCCTCCCCTGACTGCAATGGTCTCAACACATTTAAAATCCAGAAAACATTGTTAAAACAGAATTTCAGAATTTTGGGGTGAACCAACCCTTTAATATATAGTGATCAAGACAGGTTCAATATAATGAGAAATATGAAATGGAACAACATTTGAAACTGTTAGCTTAGTTTCACACATTCAAAAAACAAAATAAAAATGTAGAATTGTATATAACAAACAGTACTCAGCATTAATGAGTACACCTCATTTTGCCCACCCCAATTACTCAGTGAATATAGGTAATATATTTTGGTGCATTTGACAAAACAGATTTATTAAACAGATATATTTATACAGATAACATGTTAGTCACCGAATATCTTTAGACATAGTAATATAATCAATTCAAATTAAAATAAAATATTGCACACAAAAAAGCAACAACTGAAAAATGACTACTTTTACATGGATATCAGTAATTAAATGATTTGCCCTAATCTAAATAAGGCAATAATAAGATTAAGGTGTTTACATGGGTTGCCTTTTGAATGTTCCTTTCATAATCCCGATTTACATCTTATAGCACATAATTCGATTAAAGTAATTGTGTCACTACACCATCTACATTTCCTCTGCAGTTTCATGTAATTTTGGGTGTTTAATTTTTAATTTGTCAACTTTAACTGCAGTTTGGTGCTTTCACTTTCATTCGGGAACATTTCATGCATGCCTCCCGTGACATACGAGATATTAGATGCGAGTATGAACTGCTGGAAGAGTGTTGTTTTAAACTCTGCATTTTACAGTGTATGTGTTTGACTAGTACTGACTAAACTAATGTATATGCTGGACATTGTAAAGCATTCAATAGAAATTATTAATTTAAAACTCTATTTGTAAGGGGTGTACTACTTATATATGCTGAACACTGTAATTGTAAAATCTTTGAAATTATCTCATTAGATTTATGGTATTTCTTCATTTAAAAAAAAACTACTTCAAACTATCTATAAAACTATCATGTCTATCATACATGGGGTCCGCTGGGTCTTCAAAAATCTTAAAATGTCTGAAATTTCAAAAACTTAATTCTAGGCCTTAAAAAGTCAAATTAATTAATATTGTGTTAATTATTATTTCTTAAATTAAGAAATATTGTGTTGCACTGTATATCTTAAATCATTTTAAAGGAGTCTTAATTGTTGACCGTTGCGTCAACATTTATTCAATCACCAACAATGCATCTTCATAAAATCGTATTTTTTATTCATTTAATCCTTTTCCTTTGGCGTAGTCCCTTTTTTATCACGTGTCATCACAGTGAAATGAACCACCCTTAGTTTTTATTGCAAAGAGGTTCAATTCACAACAGCTGTTAGACATTTTTACAGAAAGTTCCCCATTAAATTCCATAATCAGGGAAAGACAACTGAAAACATTTAAATCATTCCTTACGATAATACAGAGCCATTAGAAAAAATATCCTTAGTGTTTAACCCTGTAAAAGTCTAAAAATAAATTTCTTAATGGTTCCTAAAGGGTCTTAAAAAGTATTAAATTTGACTTGATGAAACCTACACAAACACTGACCATATTGTGCAACTAAAGTAACACTCATTTGTTCATTTGTGTTCTTTATTGTTTCAGATGCACAGGGCCCCGTCTGCAGGACTGCATCGGCGTGATGGACAGGTACACACATCTTTATATTATTCTTTGAGTGCTGCAAACTTAAGGAGAGAAGTGAAGGTTTGGGGAATGACTTTAACATGGGACGAGAACAACTGCTTGGATGATACATTTTTAATATAAAATAATTTTCATTACACTTTAAAATTCTCTAACGATGTCCTCCTACACTCTTTCATGCACACACACACACACACACATTCATTCTCCAAGTCGCAGTGACTTCCGCAGTCAGTAGGTTTGCAAGGTCAGAATTCTGGCACCAGTTTCTCTCTCATCTTTATTTTCTGTCTCGCTCGGCCTCCCTTAAGCCATCATTTATTCATGCCATCTATTCTGGTGTTCTGCCCAATGTCCAGCACTTGATTTTAGTCACACTGGCATCAATAGAAAAGCACTGTGTCTGAAGAACCTTGACACCAAACTCACAGCACACACACATGCACCAACTGTTATGTCATGGTCATCCAACAAGCCTTCTTTGCTCATTTGAGTTAAACTGTCTAAAATGTTATGAATATTTCTTAATTGTTTAGATACAAAGAAAAAGGCTAACGTATAATGAAGATATGCTTGTTATATAACCATTCGTTCAGATTTATTTATAAAAATGTATTCATGATTTGCGTGTATATATTCAGCCTTGTATCGATATTCAGATTTACAGTATATAAACTAATGTTAGCATTTTGCAAAATCAGCTAGAAAGAGAGAAACAGAGACAAATACATTATTTACATACAGGGCATTCAGACAGTATTCATAGCGCTTGACTTTTTACACATTTTTAATGTTACAGCCTTATTCCAAAATGGATTAAATTCATTTATTTCTTCAAAATTCTACACACAATACCCCATAATTACAACGTGAAAAAAGCAACAAAAAAAATTAATTGTAAAATTTATTAAAAATAAAAAATCTTAAAAATCACATGTACATAAGTATTTACAGCCTTTGCCGTGGAGCTCTAATTTAGCTCAGGTACATTCTGTTTCCACTGAACATTCTTGAGATTTTCAGCAGGTTAATTGGAGTTCACCTTTGGTAAATTCAGTTGATTTGACATGATTTGAAAGGGCATAGACCTGTCAATAGAAGGTCTCAGGGTTGACAGTGCATGTCAAATCACAAACCAAGCATGAAGACAAAGGAATTGTCTGTAAACCCCCAAGACTGGGGAAAGGATACAGAAAATAATTCTGCTGCTCTAAAAGTTTCAATGAGCACAGTGGCCTCCATCATCCGTAAGTAGAAGATGTTTGTAACCACCAGAACTCTTCCTAGAGCTGGCCGGCCATCTAAGCTGGGTGATCGAGGCAGAAGGGCTTTAGTCAGGAAGGCAGGCACGTGCACACATAGGGCTCAACCTGTGCAGTGCACATGCCCTTTTTAGTCTTGGATATAAAGTGCCCTTCCAAAATGATCAAAAGTGCCCCCGCGACGCGGCACACCCTCGGTCCCGCCCTTCAGTAGGCGCGCGACAACACCGCTCTTGAGTACGTGCGCGACAACACAGCTGATCAGAACGCGCGCGACAACAGGAGTTTGCATGTCCTCCCTGCGTTCACGTGAGTTTCCTCAAGGTGTTCCAGTTTTTTCAACTGTTCAACGACTTGCGATATAGGTGAATTGATTAAAACAAAAATTGACTGAAGTGTATGTGTGTGTGTGTGTGTGTGTGTGTGTGTGTGTGTGTGTGTGTGTGTGTGTGTGTGTGTGTGTGTGTGTGTGTGTGTGTGTGTGTGTGTGTGTGTGTGTGTGTGTGTGTGTGTGTGTGTGTGTGTGTGTTTGAATGTGTGTTTGAATGTGTGTTTGAATGTGTACGAGTGTTCCCGGTACTGGGTTGCTGCTCGATGTGCATCTGCTGTGTAAAACATATGGTGGAATAGTTGGCGGTTTATTCCGCTGTGGCGACCCCAATTAGGGACTAAGCTGAAGGAAAATAAATTATTCATTATTTAAAATGTGCATTCAATACAATAATCTTATAGTTTTTGTTAAAATATATTTTCAAAATAAGGCTGAAAATATTGTTCAACTATATACATTCGTAAATATAAAATAATGGTATCATTATGACATAAGTATAATTTTAACAAAATGCATTTGTGACTTTTAACACAGTGGTTTCACTCAAACAATAATGTGTGTATCTCATTTATAATTCAATTTTGTATTACATGCAAAAATCTAAAATTGAGGCATTTTTACAAGTGGTACTGTACAGTACAGTACAAGAACCTCGTTTTGGCTCATTTCTGCTCTGATGACATCATTAACACACACACACACACACACTGCTCATTGTTTTAACACCAGCTGCCTTTCACTATAGATCTCTGCTTTAACCCAAGACTGTGAGATGGGGAAGAGAAAGTTATATAATGACCAGGCCACAGTTCTGTGATTAATGTGCTGCTGCGAGGCCTGCGCCTATGTGTGTGTGCTCACATTTGCTTCATGGCATATTTGATAAATTGATATCACTTTCCTTTGCTCTCATGGGAGAGCTGGAACAAAATACCATTAACTGCTCGGAGCAAATGCGTTTGCTGTTTCAGATCCGCTGTGGTGTTACACACAACCCTGACAGGGGAAGGAAGCCAAGGCTAGATAGCCTTACACGTCACAACTATCGAAGCACAGATCTTGATTTTTCCTGGCTGATTCCTATTGCACACATATTCACAAATTAGCAGATTTTTTTTTCTCTCAGTCTTAATGTTTTTATTAAGCTGTAAACAGGACAAATAGTAAATGAACAATGGATTCCTTTACTTTATCAAAGCTATTTACAGGGATTTCATATTAGAGTAAAACCACTGCACTTCCACGATTGCACAAAGAGACTGCATAGTTTGGGAAAGCAGTGGTTTCAAATAGCAAAAACTAAATATGCAAATGATGAAGTAAATCCGTAATGATCTGATTTTAGCTTTGTTAATTTATGCTATTATGCAATACCAGTACAAAACAAAAACAGTATGCGGTTTGAATAAAAATGCAGATTCACTCTTTTCCTGTAGGTGGCACTTATAGAACTGCTGGAGTAAAGATGTTTCTTGGTTTAGTGCTGGTTTTTAGTATTTAATGCAGTCATAATTAAAACAAATAAATTACCATCTGAACGTTTCTGAGGACACTGGCCATTTTTTAGATGCAACCATAATCCACATATAAGATCAAATATGTAAGAAACATATACTTCAAATAATCATGTAAAAACACTGTGATTAGTTGACTTTACTTTAACAGAGGAAACCCATTTCTTTTAAATTGATTAGTTGGCTTTACTTAAAAAGGGGATTAAACTGTTGCTATAAAATTTTTAAATGAATTAATTATGTGAATAATATTAAAAACTAGTTGGCTTTACTTAAAAACTGTTTAAACATTGCCTTAAAATGATTAAATAAATTAAATATGTCCATAGTAATGAAAACTAGTTGACTTTACAAAAGTGAGTAAACCCATTGCTTTTAAAGTGATTGGTCGGCTTTACTTAAAACAGGTTTTAAACCATTGCCCTAAAATTATTAAGTGATGTTTATTTATAAACTAATTTTGGGAGGATCACATGCTTATGACTGACCACAGCCAGTCCTGCATTATCTAAACATGATCCTCCAATCATATGATTCTTAAGTCACTATAACCACAGTCTTCATTCCACAACTATATTCATCAGGAAGAAACCCACTTTTCTCCCCTTCTCCTCCCCCTTTCACCTAGAATGCATGGCACGGCAGCCCAGTGGTTAGCACAGTTGCCCCTTGGCCGGTGGGCATTTCAGTGCGTAGTTTGCTTGTTCTCCCCTTGTCTGCGAGGGTTTCCCCCGCGTTATCCGGTTTCCTCCCACTGTCCAAAGATATGCGTCATATGTAACCCACCTACGCATAATGTACATCATAGTCTAGCACCCAGCATCAGTATTTTTCCCTCTCAAAAGTAGTTCACCTTAGCCACATCAACAGTTGGAGTTTTTAAGATCTACCTGAGTTCAATCTCCCCTTTCACACTGCGAATGGGAGAGGGGCCTAGACTTGAAGATCCCTTGAGCTCAGGGCTCTACCGGCACAGCATGTCAAATAAGCTTATTATAAATCATCAGCTAAGTGTGAATTCTTGAAATAAATGTGCATAATATTAAAAACTAATTGACTTTAAAAGTGAGTAAACCCATTGCTTTGAGGTGATTGGTTTGCCTTAACTAAAAAGTGAGTTAGCAGTTGATTTAAAATTATTAAATAATTGAACAATGTACATAATTATAATATTAAAATGTTAAGTCAACTCAACAGCTCCAAGTTACAATGGGTTTAATCACTTTTTAAGTAACTAGTCACATTTTAGAGTACAGCTATACAACATTTTAATTGACTCTTATTCACACATCTATTTATTTAATAGTGAAAACATCGATTGAACGAAGATCAGTATTTCATGCAAAGGGTCATTATTTAATAAAAAGGTTAAAGTAAAATATTCTTTCTAGGGTTCAGCTTCTCTGTAATCCGTTAACACTGTTTGCACACTTTGCAGTGTAAAATTAGAGCAATTCTGTTTATTTGCAAGTACAGAACAGATATCAAATGAATTAATACACACAGATTCACAAAAAACAGTTTCTGTTGACTCATTTGGTGCAAAAAAAAAAAAAAAAAATGTCCAGTTTGATTTCTGGCAATATAAATCAATGAATTTCTAATCACAACCTTAAACTTAGTCACAAATAGCTTCATGTATATAAAAAAACAAGCTAAACTTCTCACATTGGCTCTCTTTGGATCATTTTTAGAGACCAAGTGCACTATTTTTTGTCCACTGGGCATTTTTGAACACATCCAAGTACAATTTTGGCCCAGAATGAGCTATAATGTGGACCAGCTTTCGCGCACACACATACACACTGTTCTGTCCTAATAGTGTGTTATAGAACAAGAGTGTATACTGGTTGTTTGGACAGACTATCAGAGTAGTAGCTGCAGGGAATAATCCTG